CTTTACAAAAGCACAGCTTGTTTCTTTGGCCCTTACAACAGCCCCGTGGAGACAGCAGCGTTTAATCTGGACACAGGTATGGGGCAAATTGCAGCACTGCTCAACTGTGCAAGTCCCCTGCTCCCATCGAGGCTGCATTAGGAAAAGAGCGCGGGTTCTCGGTGGAGTTGATGGGGGTTGGGGGGATAGCAGCGCCTCCTCTTGGTTTTGTCCATCCCAGAAATGACCAGGCTGTCCCTGAGCAGTGCTCTCGTGGGCCAGAGAAAGGTGGGGAGAAGGGCTGAGGGCAGCAAGGTGATGTGAGACAGGTGGAAGGGGGCTGTGTGTGACACCAGCCCCAACAGCAGCAGCCAATTTGAAAGGGAAGTGCTTATTAGCAGCCAAACCTCACCCCAGGTCTGTGAGCACCCCTGGGAATCTTTCCTAAACTCCAGTTTGGGAGGCTTACGATTAGGCTGCCTCAGTTCCGACCGCACAGACTGCTTAGGGGATACTCGGCTCTCCTAATAGCACAGACACTTCATGGGAGGCTCATAAAGGGTTTAACGTGTGTTTGTTAGTACACACAATGGGATGTTATACTGCAGAAGGGATCTTCTGGAAATGCTTTTTCTCTGCAGTGAGGATAGGAGGAACGGGAAATACAGGTATGATTAGGAAAATGACTAGTCATCAACCTTGAATTGACTTTTGTCTCGCTTTGCCTGTGCCACCGGAAAACAGTGCGACGAGGCTGCTGAAACGCTCGGGGTGCTTCCCGGGCTGCTGGGAACACTTATAAATAGAGCAGACTTAGGAATATAACAGAATGGCTTTGCTGCAAACTCAAATATTGTTTAGGGAAAGGTGTCTGTTTATTAATATTTTGTATTTTTTAATATGATTTTATTGATTTCAGAGAGAGGAAGGGAGAGGGAGAGACAGAGAGAAACATCAATGATGAGAGTCATTGAGCGGCTGCCTCCTGCACGGCCCCTGCTGGGGATCGAGCCCGAAACCTGGGCATGGGCCCCAACCGGGAATCGAACCAAGATCTCCTGGTTCATGGGTCGATGCTCAACCACTGAGCCACACCGGTCGGGCTAACATTCTGTGTTTCTCCAACTGAGCCACCCGGCCGGCGCTCTGTGCATTTTTAACATCCCCTGAAGCGGTAACATCCTACTGAGCTGCCTGCTTTAGCTGTCCAAGTTATCTCCCGAGGTACCAGTTATTGCTTCTGTTAGAGACCATTACAAAGGCACATAGGTTTTCAGGGGTCTGCCCTTACCTTCACCTTATTTTCCCCTAAGCCCTGTTACCTTTATTGTGCAATTTTATAGAATGTGAGGTTTTTCAGGAGCAATATATCATTTCTCAACAGAAATGCCTAATTTCTTTCAAGTGCTGCAGAAAGCAGCATCAGCTGGAGCAAAGACATGGAAAGGAAGTAAGCAGGGCCACCCGTGGGTAGTTTGATGTGTTTGGCAGAGTCCAGGCTGCAAGGCTGGTCCCTCCCGGGAAGGCTCTGAGTTCTGTGTCCCCTGAAAGCACTGTTTCCTAGCCCTGCGCACTAATGTGTGGTGCTTGGGTCCTGACCCCGTCCAGTGCAGCAGAAATAACCACCTTTTTCTGTTTCTGCTCTGGACAGAGAGTGTGTAGCAGCACAAATTAGCTAAATATATTCCTGAATAAAGCCTTTCTCTTCACTTTCTTTGAAACTTGTCCATGGAAATGGACTTTGAGTCTCCTTATTTCTCTAAGGCAGGGGTGGGGAACCATTTTTCTGCCAAGGGCCATTTGGATATTTATAACATCATTCATGGGCCATACACAATTATCAACTTAAAAATTAGCTTTGAAAACAGCTCCCAGATTTATTGAATTTCAAGTCCTGCCTGTGGTTGCCTGGGCAGGGCCAGACCAAATGATTTCGAGGGCCGTATACAGCCCATGGGCCAGACATTCCCCACCCCTGCTCTAAAATTTAAATACTTGCTACCAACCTAGAATCCCCAAGAGAACGTTTTCCTCTCTTTACTGAAGCCCTGACCACATTCTGTCTTGTGTTATTACAGTGGCGTGTATATGCATGTGCATGCATGTCTATGTGTGCTCTGTGTGTGTGTGTGTGTTTGTGTGTTACCTCAATTGCACTGTAAGTCTTTAAGGACAGGCACTTGTTTACTTCCTCTCTGTATCTCCTCCACATTGCCCAGCTCGGTGTCTTTCACATAGTAAGTACTAATAAATATGTGCTAAATGAACAAATCCTCCACAAGCACTCACTTGCATCTGGGCCCTTCTGTGAGGAGCAACAACTGCGCACGGTGAATTCCAATGCAGTGGTTAGAAGACATAGCTTTGCATTAAAAATTTCCTGTAGCATCATTATCGGAAATTATGCTGGGGAAGTAAAAACCAAAAAGCAATGTAAGAACACCTTATGTGAGATATTTTATTCATGTTTTTAAAAAATTAATAAGCAGCAGAGAGGAATTATTTAATTTGGCTGCTCTGATAGTGGCTGCTTTGCTTCCCAAGGTGCTGGGAGTTGAGCTGTTTCCTGAGGGCATACCAGTTCAGAACAAAGCTCAAGGTGATTGCTGCTTGAATGGGGAACTTGCTGAGAGAGGCAGGGTTCTGCTTCCACAGTGGGGGGAACACGGGCCTGGGGGTGAGGGAGATGGGCTCAGCTGCTCTAACTGAAACAGCAACCTCCACTGCCCCATTCCTATTGGTGAGTGTCCAGGTATCTCTCCATGTCTTTGCTGTCCAGCCCCCCACTGAGAGAGGGTAGGGGACAGCATATCTGTGTGTGGGGGCGGGGGGTCTATGATGATTTAATGTGGCTGGAGTGCAGGATCCCCCTTTTATAAGGACACTAGTCATATTGGTTTAGAACCTACTCTATTCCAGTATGACTTCATCTTAACTAATTACATCTGCAACAAACCTATTCCAAATGTAGTCATTTTCTGAGGTACTGGGAGTTATGACTTCAAAACATGAACTTTAGGGGGACACACTTCAACCCGTAACACCTTTATAGCAGGTAAAGCAGGAATTATTCTTACTCCCATTTTAAAGATAAAGAAACTAAGTCTCAGAGAGTTGAAGTCATTTCCACAGGTAAGTGAATCCCTGGGTCATAAATGCAAGTCCACTGTCTGACTCACTGGTTAGAGTCAGCGTGGCTGGTGTGGCTCAGAGGTTGAGCATCGACCTAGGATCCAGGAGGTCATGGTTCGATTCCCAGTCAGGGCACATGCCCAGGGTTGCGGGCTTGATCCCCAGCAGGAGGCATGCAGGAGGCATGCAGGAGGCATGCAGGAGGCATGCAGGAGGCAGCCGATCAATGACTCTCTCTCATTAATGTTTCTATCTCTCTCTCCCTCTCCCTTCCTCTCTCTCTGAAATCAATAAAAACTTTTTTTTTCTTAAAAAAAGCTTGCTTTCCAGGCAAGAAATAATACTTGAAAAAGAGAGAGAGAGAGCCAGACAGTGCCTCTTGCTATGAGTTTGGCTAGCTGTTCTCACACACTTGAGGCTGCACTGAGCTGTGCAAACAGAAGTGGTCAAATGTGGTCTTCTCTTGGAATCAACTGCAGATGCCCTATTGTTAAAAGCTTCATTCTGCTTATTCAATTGCTGCCCCTCTGGCTGTACCTCATGAGGGCTTGACCTCCAGGGGAACTGTTTACTCAAACTGTTCCTTGTAAGTCTGCTGTTTCTCTCTGGTGGGCCCATCCCTGAGCCAACGGGAGCCAGGTACAATGAACCTATTCAGGACGGAAAGTAAAGTGCCCGTGCTTCCCTTTCTCTCTATAGCATCATTCTTTGCCTCCCTGTGCCTTTCTTTTGTCCTGCCTGTTGAGTAACATCCGTGCGGGAGCGGGCAGTGTGGGAGCTGCCAGCAGCGAGGGAGTGTCGCCGAGGACACCGGCCAGATGACTTATGCACCAGGGCAGGCAGCAATGGGCAAGCTTCCCGGAAACTGCTCTGCCACACACCAGCTCTGACGTGCACCTTCTGCCCTGCCTGTCACTCTCACCAGCTAAAGCTGGTGGCCCCTGGGGTCTCCTGGACAGAAAGCAGAGCCCCCACCGTTGGGAGACAGCATAGGAAGTAGTCAAGTGCAGACTCCAGAGACAAATTCCAGTCCCAGCTCTGCCACTAACCAGCCACGTGAATTTAGGGAAGACGCTTAACCTCCCTGTCATTTCTCATCTGTAACGTGGAGATGATAACTTTCTTTACATCACAAGGTAAAGGCATGGATAAATGACAGAATCCACAGATGGTACCTAGAATGTGCCTGCCATATACTTCTAGCACTCGGTAAATGTAGCACCTCCTTGTTTGTTTCCCAAATGTCATTTGTTAATCTGGTCATTGAAAACTGGCAGGATACATAACAAGAAGTTAACAGTGGTTATGTCTGGAAGATGGAATATTTGCTCATTTGTATTTTCTAAACTTTACATGCCAAATACATATTAATTTTTTAATGAGAAAATAGCTCTTGTTGAGAATCTGTGGGGTGCAGTGGACTAGGGATGAGCGGGTACAAAGTGAACATGACCACTGTCCTTAGTGGAGTGTGAAGTCTGGGGGAGGAGACAAAACAGGTAGGTGGATACAGGGGGGATGGGCAGCGGTGCTCAGGGCGGGCTCGGTGTGGACCAGTGCTCCTCAAGTGGCACCTGCATTACAGAGAATCATCAGTTTTGCCCCAACAGTCTCTGGGCGTGGCCTTCCCTGCTCTGGAAACAGGAAAGTAAGATGACACATCAGTCAAATAAAAGGGCCACTCCTTTAATCTACCTCCATGCCCCAGGGGGACTGGGACAGAATCGCTGAGATTCCTTTCTAAGGTGCCTATTTCTAGGAAATGGCTTGTGTTGAAGAGAAAGTCGAGGTGCTTGAGGTAGCACCTCTTATGACAGGTCTGAGCCCAGGGTGCAAAACAGCATGTCAAACAGAATGAAGTAATTTCCTGTTTCTCTGTCTCTCCATAGCATTATTAGCATCATCATTGTTTTGGCTGGAGCGATTGCCCTCATCATCGGTTTTGGTATTTCAGGTACGTGATTTCCCGCATTACCACAATCCACCCAGCCCTCACCACTGAGCCCCGACCACTCAGTGTGGTAGAAGGGAAAGAGCACAGGGCGTGGCACAGGGAGCCTCAGAGTGGAGCACTGGTTCTCTTACTGACTGTATTCCCTTCACATCAACCACTAATCTCTGTGGGCCTCAGCTTCCTCACCTATGGAGTGGAGGCAGTAATGTCCCCATCACCAGGCAGTTGAGAGGATCAGTGTTCCATCCATCAGACAGGACTAAAGATATTCTGGGATCACAGACGAATCGCTGCCAGGGCTGAGCCATTCTAACCGTGGTCGACCTGGGTAGATGATCCCTTTTCCATGAAGCTTCAGCTGGCGTGATAAAGAATATCAAGTCTCTGCACATGGGGGTCTTAGGTAAAGAGAAGACTGGCCGTGACTGTTCCATGTAGGAAACAGGTCCCTGTGGCGCGGCTGGTGAGTTTCTGAATGCAGTAGCTGGTGTCAGCTGCAAGGAGCAGTCTTCCCTTTCCTCTTCTGCATCTCGAAAGAATCTATTATGGATGCCACGTTAATTAAGACATTGAGTGAGCTGGGCTAGAAGCTGTCTTCTCTGAAGCAAGTTTTTTGCTCCATTTCCCTTACTCTGTCTGACTCAGGCTAACACATTTATTCCCACTCAGTCTGTGGCCAGAGCTGTCACTTCAGAACTTTAGTTTTATAGTTGCAGCTGCCTTTCCTCTGTCACTCTCCTCCAGCTTGGAGTGTTGCCATCCCGGGTGACCTTTTAAGAAGGAGGGAGATGCAGTGGAAAGGCCCCTGACCCTACTTAGGCCCTGTGCTACCTAAAGCTCACTCCCTGGGTGACTCAGAACAGCTCTGTGTAGTGGGAGAGTTTAGGTACCAGACAGAGATGTTCTAATATCTGGACTGACACCAACTATAGGTGCTCATTGGGATATAACTTAACTTTCCAGAGACAGTTTCCTCGCTGGTGTGGGGATTAAACGGCAGAGTGTTTGTAAAGTGCCTGGCCCGTGTGTGCTAAATGGCTGCCGTTATTATTTATGTCAACACCATCAGCTATTAATAATTTACTGTTATTAATACATTCACACACCATCTCCTAAAATTTGCACAGTTTCCCGACCAAACCAAGGCAGGCCCCCTCTGAAATTAGGGAGGCCATGGCAGGAAGCCACAGGACACAGCCTAAGAAAGTCTCCACCTCTGGATACTGGGTAAAAGTTATAGTCTACTCAGTAAGCCAATCAGGCACCAAACCAGGAGCACTGAACAAATTTTTTGGGAAAAAAATGATTATTTTCAAAGATTGTCGTCATCTGAGAAAATAAATAGCTATTGGCTTTTCTTACACTTGTCTTATAATTTTTCATTGTTTTTATTTTTATATGAGGTGGGGATACTGTTTCAGTGAGTAGGTTCTCTGCATATCTCAGTCTGGCCCTGATATCAGCAGAAAGAGCACACACGGGCTTAGCACCAGATAAGACTGCGGTAGATACTAGCTTCGTAAAATGATAATTCTTACCACTCATGGTTTTATCCGGCTTAAATCGAGTCACTATAAGTAAAGCATTTAGTAAATTGTTCCTTTCCTCCGGGTACTCTAATCTGCAATCTTCCCAAATGATTCTAGTTAATAATGGTTGTCGATACCACTGATTGAAGGTTTAACATGTGGCAAATCAGGTACTATATTAAGCTCTTTACAGGCATTGTATCATTTAGACCATTCAAGGACCCTCTGAGGGAACCACTATTATTAAACACTCCCATTTTATAGATGAAAAAGTTATGGGGTCAAGAAGTTTGAAAACTTGCCCAAGATCACATATCCAGTAAGTGGCGGAGCTGGGACTTGAACCCTGACTGCCTGACACCTGTGCCTTGTTCTCAAACACTATGCTCTGCTGCTGCACCTCGACCTGGCTCCTTTATCTAGCCTGGCCGGGCATCCTTTCTAATTTCTTCTCACACAGGAAACTGCTACCACCAACCCTGCCTCTTCTCTGGCAAGAGTAGCACTCACGAGTGCCACCCCAGGATCGACGGGTGCGGGCTTAACCTTATGTGTTTCCACCTTTAAGCCATGTGCTGTGGTGCCCACTTGGACAGCTGGGTTCCAGCAGGTGCTGAGTGAGCGTCTGCCGATGGCTTCTAGTACACACTCCGTGCTACTGGGATCTACAGAACCTTACTGAGCCATTTCAAAGGGCAGTTCATTTTCCAGGTTTTATCCAGTGGTGTTGGGCATCCCAGAATCATAGTTTCTGTAAATAATCCTTGCCTTGCGTTACCTGTAACCCTACTTTCTAAGAGATTCCTACTCCTACATCAGAGGGCAATCAAATAGCGCTGAGATTTTGCTTGCTCCCTTGACAGCTCCTCTTTTCCCTGCAGACCAGAGCTGGGATAGTAAGAGCTCCCACAACTGGAGAATTCATTTTCAGTAAGTGACTGGGCCTTCCAACATTAAAGGTGTGTGATGGAATCTTAGGGGCCAATGAAATCCTTAAAATCTGTGCCTGTTTAAATTAACAGAATTCTCTATTAATACACAGTTGCTATTAACTCATCTTCTGGGGCCCTTTGGCTCACCAAATCACACGAGAGCCCCTGGTGGCCAAGAGGCCTGGGGAGTCATATCAGACCAGTCTGTTTCCTAGAACAGAGCTCTTGGAGCCAATATTTGTTTGCACGTTTGTGTACGGATTTCCTTTGGTGAGCAGCAATATTTATATGCTGTTGCTTGCACATTAACTTTTATTTTGTCACTTTTACTCATTATTCACCTAACAAGTAAGTATTTATTGATTGCTTTCTGGGTTCAAAGCAATGGCGTGGTCCTCATGGTTTTAAAGATCTCACAGGCCTTTGTTCCTCCTCGTGATCTGATATGGAGAGGGTGGGATTTAATCAGCATTACACTCATTCCATCTGCCACATCTTTGATGGGACCTAGAGCCTGCAGCCGGTCCCTGGGTTCCCACAGCGGCCTGCTTTTACTCAGTAAGTTCTCTAAGAGATATTTCAACAAATCCTCCACCTGTGGGCTCAAGGCCAACACATTATGATTAATTCTGTAGCACAATTACCAAACTAAGATATGTCATTACCAATTCATTCTCTCCATAAACTGTGCTAATTATGTATTTTTCCTGAAAAGTAATTTTTCAAATCAACTTTAATGGCACTATGTAGACTACATCCAATTTACCCTTGCTTTAATATAGTTACATTTGCTCCATGATTTCATTGAGAATCTCTGTATTTTCATTGCCTTCTTTTTCACTGGCTCACATTTCCCCAAAATTAAGATGTGGTAATCCTGCCAAATGTTCCTCACTCCTGTAATCATCTGGGATAGAACCATTAAACAGTCTCTTGATTTCTACCGACTTCCATTCATTAATTCATTTACTCAACAAATATTATTTTTCTCTGTAGAAACATAGCACTAGGCACTTGTCTCAGTTTGCTCAGGTAACAAAATACCATATACCTGGTGGTTTAAACAACAAAAATTTATTTTCTCACAGTTGGGAAGCACCCTCGGGCCCCAGGTGGCCCCATTTCTAAGGCTTCCATCAGAGGCAGCATGATCTGCTTTGCTCCGTTTACACATTCAAATATTAATCTCATCCAGAAACATCCTCACAGAGACCCCCAAAATATCTGACAAAATGTCTGAGCACCCTGTGGCCCAATAAAGCTGACACAAAAAATTAATCATCACAGCAGTACAGGAGTTACAAATATGATTAAAACAGTTTCTCCCCTTGGAAAGCTTATGAATTAGTGCCAGATATAGGCTGGAGACAAGGTAGAGGAAAGCTTACAAATTAGTGCCAGATATAGACTGAAGCAAAGAAAGTGTCCAGGGAGAGTAAAGAGAGAATATTCATTCTGTCTTGGTAGATCAAAAGAGTGTTTCCATCTGAACACGGCTGTCATCTGAACAGCCTTGAATATAAGTAGACTTTGGATAACTAGTGATAAGAGAGGAGGGAACTATAAATTATAGGTGCAAGATGAACAGGGGTGTGAAAGTAATATTATTGTTGTATAACCAGTACTAGCCTGGGATGTTTTGGGTATCAGTCTGTCAAGTAAAAATAATTAAAAACAAATTAAATCTTTAAAGCAGTGTTCAAGAACATGCCAAGGTGGGGTAAGGGGCGTTTTGCATTCATATTACACAGCAAAACTTCATACCATCCCCTTTCATAACTCCTCTCCCAAACCTCCCACATGAATGGCCAGTCTCTCTGTCCCCATACCACACCCTAAAGCCTCCAGACACCCTCCCAACCACCTATGCACATGTGTTTCCTCTGCCCTTCTTACTTACAATTTTTCTTCCATCGGTAGCTCTCTGTTCTTTCTAACATAAAGCCATCTAGCTTAGCTTCTTCAGGTCTGTCCCTCATCCATCACTTTCATCTACTTTATAAAGGCCTAGGACCCAATTAGACAATTCCAACCCCTTATGGGCAAGAAGAGAAAAGAGAAAATATCCTTATGTTCATAATGTTTACCTCTTACATTTGAAAAATACCAAGTATGCTTTGCTTATGTTTTTGTCCATTGAAAGCAGAAAATCAATAAATCACTTGATATGAATAGGCAGTATAGACTATAAAAGAATGTAGTGGGAATGAGGGTGGAAAGGAAAGGATTTATGAGCATTTCCTACGTGCCATGCAGTATTTAGGTCTGACGGCCATGCTGGGTAGTCTGAACTTGACTCCACAGTCCTTGGGAGCCACAAAAGATTAGTGATTAGAAACCAAACATGTTCAGATTGTTTTCTGAGCTCTACCAGCTGGCGTGGCTCAGTGGTTTAGCATCAACCCATGAACCAGGAGGTCACAGTTTGATTCCAGGTCAGGGCACATGCCCAGGTTTCGGGCTCGATCCCCAGTAGGGGGCGTGCAGGAGGCAGTCAATTAATGACTCTCTCTCTCTCATCATTGATGTTTCTATCTCTCTCTCCCTCTCCCTTCCTCTCTCTGAAATCAATAAAAATCAGTCCTACAGGCATGTGCAGTTAGCAGCCCGCGTGCAGAAAGAACAGCTGGTCAGTCCTTTATAGACTGAGCGGGCTATCAGCTGGGCAAGTGGGGAAGAGGCAATGGACACGGCTGGCCGCACGATTAATATTCTACTGGGGGGGCTGTTTGGAGAGGTGTGTCTTCTGTCTTAGGCCAAAAAATAATTTCATTAAGCCCCACCCTTCACTTTGCCATAGCCAGCACCATAACCTTGACCGAGTCACTCACCTTCTATGCTTAGCTTCCCCATCATTCAAATGGAGACAAAAGTAACAGTCCTTTGGAATTCAACATTCTTCAGGACTCCTGGTCACATTTAGTTAACACGAGGTTTCCCTTCCACACCACTTCTGGGCAACTAAGAATAACAATCCCTAATATGTATAATTACAGTTTGCAAATCAAGTCCATAATCATTTCATTTGGGCCTCACAGGAGCCCTTTAAGGTAGGAAAGACAGATATCATTACCTTCATTTTTCTGAGCTCCAGAGAGGTTACGTGACTTAGTCAAGGTCACACAGATACTAAGCGCCAAAGCCAGGACTTGAATTCGCATCTTCAAACCCCAAGGAGAAGCCCAATACGTTCTCCTCTTGCTGTCTCTCAAGGATTGGGTTGCTGGGTCCCCAAAAGCTCTTGTTTACGGCAGATCTGCTGTAGCTGTGAAAACTACTGTCTCCTCTTTCCATCCTTGTGTCTTCTTTTCCATGCCTTTCGGGTTCTCCCATATTTCCAATTCATTATAGAGGTTTATGTCTGGCTTATTAGTAATGACGGGTTTGGCTGCAGAAGTTTCAAAGCTCCCCTTGGCATTGACCCTTGCTTTCTAAATGGCAGGGACACACTCCGTCTCAGTCACTACCCTCACCTCGGCTGGGAACATCGGGGAGGACGGGGTCCTGAGCTGCACTTTCGAACCTGACGTCAGACTTTCTGATATCGTGATTCAGTGGCTAAAGGAAGGCGTCGTGGGCTTCGTCCATGAGTTCAAGGAAGGCAAAGACGACTTGTCAGACCAGAATGAAATGTTCAGAGGCCGGACAGCAGTGTTCGCTGATCAAGTGAGAGTTGGCAATGCCTCTCTGAGGCTGAAAAATGTACGGCTCACAGATGCTGGCACCTATAAGTGTCACATCATCACTTCTAAAGGCAAGGGGAATGCTAACCTTGAGTATAAAACTGGAGGTAAGTTCTTTTTAGACAGAGGGGAGGAAAAACGCCAAAAGATAGTTGAGGCTAGAGAGTGTGGTTAGCTGATGAAATATTATGCGATTATGCTCGTGAGTGACCAGTATCAGACAGGACCCTCAAAGTCTGTTAGCAGCCATCCTCGCCATCCAAGACCCACACCAACCCCAAAAGTAGTTGTTAATAATATTAGGTCTTAAGATCTTTTATTCTGAACTCTAGCTTCTTCTGAATGTTCGAATACATCCCTTAAAATATTTTGCCAAAATAAATATAGTCTCTTTTATTGTAGCCTCTAATATTGAGAGTAAAAGAAGAGTACAACCTGGCCTGAGGCTCTTCTATGCTAAGTAGGCCCTAGCCCAAGCCTGGAATCAGTACCTCCAGGGACACACAACAGAACTCATTATAGGAAAAGCTGAAGGGTAATTAAACAAAACATATTGTCCCATAAACTAATTAATCCTTCCCCCAATGAAATCCACTCTTCCTTACCAACTAAATTTAATATGTTTTCTGAATTTATGTACGAGGGACTTGGATAGATCCTATAAGGAGTAAAAAGATGATTAAGAAAACAAAGATGATTGTCCCTCCTCTAGCAGAGCTCACAGTGTAGACCTACTACTTCAAAAGCCATCTTGTCTTATCTTTCTGACCTTGACATGTGCCCTTTCTGACTTTCAACCCTGCAGCCTTCAGCATCCCAGAGATAGATGTGGACTATAATGCAAGCTCAGAGAGCTTTCGATGTGAGGCTCCCCGGTGGTTCCCCCAGCCTACAGTGGTCTGGACATCCCAAGTTGACCGAAGAACCAACTTCTCAGAAGTCTCCAATACCAGCTTTGAGCTGAATTCTGAGAATGTGACCATGAAGGTTATATCTGTACTCTACAATGTCACTATCAACAACACATACTCCTGCATGATTGAGAACAACATTGCCAAAGCCACAGGGGATATCAAAGTGACAGGTGGGTTCCTTCATGCTTTTCATATAGCTTCATTGGGGTGAGAAATCTAAATTAAAATCTAATTTCTATAACAGATATATTATGTACCAGGGCACAGAAAGTTCTAGTGTTCTCGTCACAAAGACCTTGATCACAATTCCAGGTGGGATTATACCACATAAGAAGAAGACTAACACAAAGCAATATTGATGGCATAACAGGTCAAAGGTGGCAATCAAGCTTCAGCGTCAATACCTCTGACCGCCTGGAGAGCAGTGTGTAGGATTCTGAGGCCCTGTCCAACTCAGTAGGACTGCCTTGGCAGAGCAGTGGGAAGTGATGATTATTTGACATCTCTGATATGTTCAGCTAGTGATCTACATGCCGAGTCCCCCAACACTGGTGTGGTCCTAGCCTGCCTTTGAGAAGGCTTTCAATCTGAAGACGAAAGGTCTCAGAGTTGGCAGTAGTCTTATCCAGTCCTCCTCTCCTGTTCAGCTCGTGCTCCCCCTAATATTGGCCCAGGATTAGCCGACAGCTCTACTTTGAATGGCCTCCCAGGCTGAGAAGACCAGGACCCGGGGGGCCCAGCACTCTAGTCTCCCTGCTGTGTTTCAGTGCCTACAAAACCTAGGGCTGCGCTAGCATCAAGGAAGTGCACAGACTGAATTGTGACTTTTAAAACCATCCCCCTTGGAGCTAAATTGAATTCAACTTGAGTTAGTTGTAGGAGTTCTTTTGTATTCTGGATATTAAACATTTATCAGGCATATGATTTGAAAATATTTTATCCCATTCCACAGGTTTCATATGTATAATTTTATTTATTTATTTAAAAATATATTTTTTATTGCTTTTTTAGACAGAGAGGAAGGGAGAGAGTGAGAGAGAGAAACATCAATCAGCTGCCTCCCATACACACCCTGACTGGGGATCAAACCCGCAACCTGGTATGTGCCCTGACCCTTTTGGTGCACGGGACGACACTCAACCAACGGAGCCACACCAGCCAGGGCAGAAGAATGGCTTTGACAGAATAGGAAGGCATGATTTCAGGTGCCTATGTCAAAGTCCAGGGGAGAAATTATGAGGGTCTTAATGGATAGCTCACTGCCCAGCATATGACGGGTTTGGGGAGAATGCTCCATCTGTATTCTACATATTTCCTCCCATGATCAGAGATCACCACCAACTGAACCCTTCTAGCCTCGCTGTTGTCCCCTCTTTCATGCCTCACAGAGGAGGTGAGTTTATTAGACGAAGCCAGACATAAGCAGTTGAGCTCCTTCTCTTTTCTTGTCTCTCTAGCTACCCTCAGGAAGTACAATTTCTCCTGTGCTCCTCCAAGCCACCAATTTTCCAGGGGCAGGGTCTGCCCTTGCAGGAGGAAGCCCGCCCCAGCTGGGCTGCCTGCCCCTGGAGATGTCTGGGCTGCAGCTCGCTTCCGAGCAGACAAAGCTTCATCCTTTATCAGATTTATTAACAATCAAAGTGATATTTTGGTCTCCCAGTCACCTCACTCTTTTTGTCCCACTCTTGAATTGATTCAGAACTCAGCTGGGAAAAGGGGTGTTACTTATCAGACTCCTTTGAACCCCAACAGCAGATGCTCAAAAATATTTATTGAATAATTATGTTTTTCACTGACACGGTAGCAGCTGCAGCAACTGGAAACCCAGATGTAAACCCAGGACAGAGTTCAGCACAAGGAGGTGGGTTTGGAACTGATCAGCTTAATGGGACTAATGCTTATTAATTAGGCTTGAGCTGGGTTACTGGTACCGTTGTTTTTATAGCTAATACTTATTGAGTGCTTACTTACTTATTGAGCCAGGCGCTGTTCTAGCTCATGAATCCTCATAAGAATCCTAGGAAGTAGATGATTATCATTTTAATCCTATTTTATAGATGAAGAAACGGAAACACATAAAGATTAACTAAAGTCACACGGCTAGCAAGTGTTTGAGCCAAAACGAACTAAGTGAGATTGGACAGTCCAGGGAGAAAATAGAGTAATTTAATTTCTTCACTTCTCTTCCCTACTTCAAAATGAGAACAACACTTTCTCATCACTTTGCCCTGATGTCAAGAAAGCGAGTAACACAGAACCTGGAAAGGTCACTGGAGGGAAACAATGTGTCTGAAACCGAGGACTGGCCGTGGCTATTTGTTTAGCTTTTCCTTTCTTTGGTAACCACTAATTATCTCTTTACTGGTGTAGCTTTGCATTGGGCTGAGTGCTTACGGGAGTGGACCGCACAGTGGAACCTCCTTTGACAGAAAAATGGAGAATGGGTACAAGTCGTAGTAGGAACAACTTGCTGTTTTCTGGGTCCCTTTCTTTGCTGACTGGCCATGTGAAGACGACATCCAATTTCTCCTGTGACCCTGAACTTCCTCTTCTCCTCCACAGAATCCGAGATTAAAAGGCGGAGTCACCTAGAGCTGCTGGACTCAAAGGCTTCCCCGTGTGTCTCCTCTGTCTTGGCCATCGGCTGGGTGCTCCTGTTGCTCTCCTCTTACCTGATCCTAAAGTAACGTGCCTGGGCCGCCCAGAATCCCGCACAGTCATTGGTACAACAGGTGAGATGAGTCATGAGTGGTGTGGGGGATCGGTTCTGCTGTGCTTGTGTTTCTAGCAAGTCAAGTGGCCCCCAGCATCAGCTCTGAAGGCGATCCCCTCCCTCAAGGAAACACTCAAGCCATCTCCTTTCCCTCAGCAACCACATGGTACCATGTGGCCTCAACAGAACATCATCAAACACAGAAAACAAGGCCGTTCCTGAATAAGAAATACACTCACACAGTCCCAGGGAGATTTTCAGTTCTCACTAAATGTTTGCTGAATGGCTGTAATGGTATCTTATTGCTGTTATTTTCAGAATCCCAGGAATCTGCAGAGCTATTTCACCACAAGATATGACCTAGTTTTATATTTCTTGGGGGAAATGAATTCATGCCTAGAAGCCTGGAGCGAACATATAAGACCAGGAAGCAAAGAGAAGCCAAAAGCAACCCACGGAAAACTCCAATATGAACAAGACAAATCTATCATCAAAGACAACGTATTAAAAGTTGGGAAAATAATTCATCTGAACTAGGGAAGTGTGTTGACTGCTAAGTAAAATGCACAGGGAGACAAGTGTATCCCCCATATCTCAGGGACCTCCCCTTACCCATCCCCATTTGGGGAGTGAGAGGATGGGATATTGCAGCTCCCTGTCTCTGAATCTTCAGTTTTCCTGCTGTAATGTTGCTCTGAGGGAGTTTCCATTGCAATATATTCACATTTAAACTTTCTGAAAACGGTAAGAAGCTGCTAATCAGCTGCCAGTTCACAATTTCAGAGGTGGCTGCATCCTAGTGATGGGTCAGATGATTTACTCCTCATTATGATGCTTCCAAACACGCCCTGGCTCCTCCTGCCACCTGACAAACGCTGAAGAAATGTGGGACACGACTGTAATTTTAACATAAAACATATAGTTGGGTGACACACTTTCTAAATTATCTGAGCACCTTCTTTTTAAAAACAAACAGGTGCCATTTCATTTCTCAGATGATGTTTACCCTTGAAGGGTCTCAGAAAGGCCTCTCATCCTGACTACAGGTGGCAGTGAGTCATCACAAGGTTTTGGGCTGGGACTTTCCAGCCTGCGTGGACTGCGACAACCTCAGCTTTCGACAGCACCTAGAGCAGTGAGACTCACTCGACTGGGGTAATTTTGCAAACCCCCAGGGACATTTGGAAGTGTTTGGAGACAACTTTAGTTGTCACGATTTTGGGGGAGGGGTGCTACCGGCACCTAGTAAATAGAACCCAGGACGCTGCTCAGCATCCTACAATGTATAGGACATCTGCCCACAACAGAGAATTATCCAGCCCAACATGTCAGTCATGCTGAGGTTAAGAAACCCTGATGCAGAATAGAAAAGGATTTTTAAAATACGCATTAGCCTCTGTCTCTTTGGCTGCTCGTAGCCCAGAGAGCCAGAACTCAGTTTGGGGCAACCAGGAATTTCTGATGGGACTGTCTGCAGCTGGTTGAGCTTCCGAGTTCCTTTCTCTTAATTTTTCTGTACAAATAAAGTTATGTGAGAGAGCTGCTTGAGTTCTATCTCAAGTTCTCTCACCTTGAACTTGGGTATCAGAACCGTGCCCGGTCAAAATTCAAATTAATTTCTCAGCTGGTTTCCAAAACAAAAACATGTACCTTCCTTGAAGCACACAGAGGACTCTGGAAGCAGGGACAGTGAACCTTTGGAACGAAGCTCTGAGGAGTGGAGCTTTGATAGGAAAGAATATTCTGTTTCTAGACCCCGCCCACACCTTTCACTCACTGACCACTGCCTCCCTGGCACTTTGGACCCACCATGACTGTATTACATTTTGTTATAACTTGACTTTATAGTTCTGAGCACTCGAGAATGATTAAATACACATTTCCTATACTATTGTCTGCCTGGTTTGTCAAAGAAAGTAAGCAAAAGGGAAGGGAGATAAAAAGTCATCGATCAGGTTCTAAAGCCTAGTGCCTAGCATATACCAGGCCTTCAGTGTCTGCTGAATGAATGGATAAATGAATGGGAGGACATGAGAGGAGCCTGTGAGCATGGGCCGGGGGCTGGGTCTAGTTTCTTGAAGAAACTCCACTGGGCTCACCAACCTGGCATGTCTCTGTCTGGGAAAATAAGTGGCGACAGAGGGCTTGAGGCAGATAAATGTGGCAGAAGACATATAAGTGGATAAATCCAATGCTCCAGTGTAAAACTTTTACTACTCAGGAATTATCAAATTCTAAAATCGCAAAAGAAAAACCTCAAAACCATCGTTCCTAGGCCTTCCACTTTTCAGATGAAGACCCAGAGGTGACACGTGTGGGTAACTGGCTATCTTCAGGTCATATAACTTGCCCAAAATCACACTGGTAGTTGATGGAGAAATAAAAGCTATAGAAAATTTAATTTTCAAATTCCCAGAGGACTTCTGGAACAAGTCTTCCCTGCTGCGTTCTCAGCTTGCTCCCAATAGGCCTTTTGCGAGAAGAAAACACTGCGGAACCAAATCAGGAAAGCAAGCTGTGAGAGCGCAGACCTGCCCGACCCAGGGCGATTCCTCGCCTTGGCCGCGAGCACACAGCAGACGACACAGGCAACAGATGCCTCGTATCAGCTGAAGCCAAGGACCAGAATGTCCCGTACACCACAGGCATCTGGGGAAGCTCAAATCTAGGTGCCAAAGGCTAAGACATTTCAGCAGCATTAGCGCACTTAAAGGAGCAAACAATTCCAACTTCAGAGTGCAGCGGCAGCCACCAGCTGTCCCCAGGTTGTTTGAAGATCTGTTTTAACTGCACAGTGAGTTTACTGTGTGAATTGTTAATTGGGGG